CACTGAACCCTTTCCCTGGTACCAAGAGTGCCCCCCTTGAATAAGCACCGTAATCAAAACAATTTAAAGAGCACTGCAGGGGTTTATTGAGTAAATATTTTATTGTATGCCTTTACTTACCAGGATGGTTGCCAGGCCATTTTGAAAATCCCCCAGTAACATTAGCTTGGGTCTGCATCAAGTAGTCCCGATTAGCCACAAAATCAATCATCTCAAACGAGTTTAGAATCTGAAATGGTTAAAAAACACAACCAAGAAAACAAAAGGATTAATATTACTTTTTGGCAATCATTACTAAGCTTACAAAAATTATACCCCTCTCACACCTTTGGAAATTCTAATATGGTTTTTGAAAACTTCCATGCCCCCAGCCATGGAGGAAAATATCAAAAAGGTCCCCACCCCTCTTGAATTATAAATTTTCTTTCATACAAACCTTGTAATTTTGTTTTTCCTTTGATCCCCTATCCCATGGGAATTTCTGATTTCCTCCATGGGGGGTATGGAAATTTTTTGGAACCACATGATTCCTTACATGTGAGGGTCTTTTTAGAACTAAATAATTTACCTTTATATGATCTTCACCAACCATTAAGAATTCTGGTATCCTTATGATAGACCCCTTGCATGTGATGTCAAAGCAGCTCAATTTGGAGGACAAAACAAAAGAATTTCAGCCTAATGTGAATTGGAAACCTATTGTTTTGTCCTCCAAATTCAGCTGCATTCTGACATGCTTCAAGAGGTCTTCACACTTCTTTTTTATCAATCTTAATAAATGTACCTGTAATGAAGCACCAACCCAGAAAGCATAGCAAGTATCAACAGGTTTGTTTGGTCTTCCTTGAAACCCTGATTTCTGTCTGAACATACACCATCGTTTCAATTTTTCCAAGTCACGGCCAGAAAAAACGTCATTTAAACGATTCATCAGAGAAAGGGAGGCAATGGCACAAAATGTTGAACCACCTAGAGTAGGACACAAGAGACAAGGATTCTTAGAAAGCAATCTATGACAAATGTGAAATTTAGATAAAGCCAATTTCATACAATAGTGAGCTAAAATCTATAACATATTGGTCTTTGTTTTCTGTCAATCAAATCCATAATGAATTAGTATATGTAATAGGACTCCATGCTGTCCAATTAAGAAATAATTGGACGAGGAAAATTCCGAGGACTTCCMAAATTGGATGAGGCCATAGGCCGAGTCCAATTTGGCAGTCAGAGGAATTTTTTGACTCTAATTATTTCTTGATTGGGGAGCATAAAATCCCATTACCTATTAATTATATAGCTGCCTAATTAATCCCATATCAACAAGACCTGTCCAATTAAGAAAATAATTGGACAGTTACCTATATGGGATTAATGAGAAGCTGTATAATTACCATAGTAATTTTAATTGAAAGATGTCCCCAAGACATCTGCAATAGAGGCTTTGCACCATCACGTGATGGCACCCATAATCCAGCTTGGACTGCCTGTGGTTAGATGGCAGAACAATAAAATCCCTTTGCTCTTAGGAATTGAATTCTTTCTCATGTGAATGATTGTATTGTTCCCGCAAAACCTCTATTGTCTTGATAACAAAATTATGAAAAGAGTTGTAAAACTTAAGATAAGAACTTTATTTTTATAGCATTTTTTTAAACGATGAATACACACCATGTGACTCTAAGTTTGGACCCTGAGCAATTCCATAATCATAGCACTGAAAATAAAATAGTTTGGAGAAGTGAGATCAATAAAATGTTACCAAACTTCCCTTAAAAAGAAGAGGCACGGACAATCTAGACCTTTATTTTATCTTCTTGCAATATTTCACCATTAAATACCACATATCATTCCCTTAAGGATAAGATTCTTTATTTGAGTTGTATCTAAATTTATGTGTCTTCTTATGCACAACTGTTAAACAAAGAAATGATACTCTAGGGAAAGACATGTGGTCTGAAATGGGAAAATTATATTATATGCCCAGGGTAAGGAGGTATATTCCTGGAGCTATAAAATACACTTTACCTGGCTTTTTAAAATATACTCTACAGCTTTATCCATATTCACTCCACTCCAGTCATTAAGTATGTAGCTAATACAACAGGCACAGTATATGAACCGCATGTCATTTTCACTTCCAAAAAAGGTAGGGYAAAAACTGAGAATGAAATGAAAAAATGAATAAACATAATGGAAATTATTTTCACAGCTACTGGGACTTATTCTGAAGAAGTAGGGTTGCAGGGGCTTTTGTCTCCCCAAATGGGCTCCACAATAAGAGGATCATTCTATTACCATTAAAAACCAGGGATACCCACCTTCCATCTTCTAGTTGTAAGTGTCGGAGCCCGTGTACGACTGCTTTCTTGTTTACTCTTGATAAATCATCTCCAAGAATAAGTAGCATGGCTAGGGCAGTGTACGTCATGGCTATGTGTCCACATTCATACTSACAGACATTCTCAGGATCCTGTAATTGAAATAACAATGTAGAGTCTAAGAATAAATGGTTTGAACCCAGGCGTAAAAGTAAGGTATGAAATGTGATCCTCCAGGTGAGTGTAGTCTTGAGAAAAACTGTTGGTGGTGGTGACTGACATTTTGACAACCTGAGCAGAAATCATCTTCAAGAAGGTTGGTGGTGACTGATGTTTCAACAACTTGAGCGGAAATCATCTTCAAGAAGATGAAGATGACTTCTGCTCAGGTTGTCGAAATGTCAGTCACCACCAAAAAAAGTCTTTCTCAAGACTACACTCATCCAGATGATCACATTTCACACCTAATGTAGAGTCTGTTGGGTCTCTCCTTTGATTCAACGACAATTAATCACAATTTACCTTCAAATCTGCACCAGTCATTCCCGATCCACGGAAACCACATTTACCTTCATTTCTCCCTAGAGAGAAAACATTAGTTAATACAACTTTGGAATAATCTTAGAACTAAAACAAAAGCAAGGTAGAGAGATCATAATTACAAGCTGGGAAGATCCAGGCACTGTTCAAAAGTGGCCCAGATACATGTACAAAACTGATATGATATGACATCACCAGAAAATGAATAGAAAGGAATGGGAAAATGAATGAAAAAATGTCAGTTGTCCCACATTTTCAAACTCATCTCCTCCCCCAATGAAGTAAAGAGCATGTTATGTTCCCCTTACCATCTTCTGTAGGGATGACTTGGTTAGAATAGATCCATTCAATCATTTCTTTCTTTTCACTTCCAATCAAGTGTAAAGCATTCAGTACATCCAAAGCGGAAACAGCAAAGAATGCAACAGTCATTCTGATGACAAAAAGGTAAGAATTACTGCAGTTTTTGATATTCTACAAACTCTGTAGTTACAAGCTACATGTTGAAATTTGGTTTTTCGCTGCCACCAATCAAAAATAGTTACTTGGTACCTTTTATGTTGTTGACTGGCGGCAGTAAAAAACCAGTTTCACAACAAGCCGTTGTGATGTCTGAGTTGGTAGTGTACAAGCAAGTATAGTTCTTATGTCCCTTTCTTGTCCTTCGCCACTGATTTTCTCTTGTTGTTTGTTTGTCAATTTATGACATCCTTCAATTAACTTTTTATATATATTTTTCAATATGCACCTAATTCAAAAAACATTGTCATCGCCTTTAGGTGATAGGTCATTCCGACATGGAAATGGTTTCTTTGAATACAAGAACATTGAATGAATCTCAGCACGAAGGTCCATACTCTTGACGAGAGGAAGAAGAAGAAACACAAGTCATTCCAGCTATTCTTGGATCTTGAAATGACATATATCCTACCACTTTTCGCCTAAATCCTATTGCCTATCGCCTTTGGTGATGACAACGTTTTTTAAATTAGGTGTATTTATGTTATATAGGCTGGGCTAAAAATAACGGCCTTCAACCAGTCATGATGACCTGACAAATTAGTTTTAGCTCAGTCATACCTTATTTCTGGCTCAATGTTAGTGGTGAAAACAACTAGCAATGCAAAGATTTGACCAGACAAGTTCCAATTCTGGCTAGACATTGTCTAATGAAAAGTTGCTTATATTTTTAGCTCTTTACATGCAGTAAAAACGGTTGAAATCAAATTTTTTTTAAAAATATACGACACTTGTTCTCAATGTTACTTAAACCAACAAATACACTTCATCAGAATAAATAAATATAAACCATTTTTTTATAAACTAGTATTTAATTATTTCCAGAAATGAATCAAAAACAGTTGTGATATCTAATTAAGTACAATAAAGCTTCCCTGCGTACATATTTAAATTAATATTAAAAAGAAAAATCAAAAACGCCTATCCCCACCTTGACTAAAAACTACAGGAACAAATACCCATTATTTTACCAACCTGCTAGTATCTAAAGATGCATATTCTGACGGTAAAACAGCTAAGCATCGTTGAAAGAACTTGATATGTTTGTCGCGAAGGACATCCTCACGAAACTGTACCTCCTCCCGCTCATCTTGCATCGCCTCATCCATCATGTTATATTCAAAATATTTTAACAGAAGCTTAGTTCCTGGAAATCAAGATAAATCTGAGCTAAAATAAGAGTAAAAAAAGTGGTTTCGATTAAAAATAAATACGCCCTCGGTTGGTGTTGGTGTTTACGTTTGGCAGACTTCTAAACTTGGTGTATCTTTGATATCTTGTACAAATGAATCAAACAAATTCCAAAGAAAAATCCACTAGACCCTTTAAAGTCTCCTTACCTTATCCTTATCCTCGTATTTTGCATAAAATTTTTCAAAAATTTCGGTTAATTGGAGAGAAAATTCTCTCTCTTATCTTGACGAAAAATCGTCCGCCATTTTGATTGATGCCCGCAGTGAGTTATGGGATTATTCTTAGACGCCCGCGTTGTACAGCGGTGGTAATCGTCATGGTAACAATAACATCATCACAGGAAGAGAAGTTCGATAGAAGCTCAGATCAGAAACGCTGAAATTTTTGGGTTTTGAGGACTGTTCTTTACTACAAGGATTGATTTGATGAGTGTATAGGGGATGGGATCTAATCCTTCAAAGAATGAAGTTGTCAAGATTCGGATTCCGTCTTCCAAAGGCAAAAGAGACGAGAGGTAAACTGAAATGATTGAAAATTCAAATACAAGTCGCCGTACGGGTGACGTACGAATAGCCACTCTGTTGATTTTAATTCTGGTAGTTAACTTAGAATGAAATGATATGCTGAATTTAGAATTTTAATTTGTCTTGTTCTTTCATACAAACTATTTTTGGAATGATCTATATTAGAAAACCATTATACAAGAGATGGTTTCAGAGGGATAACGAAGCCATGTTTACAAGAAACTTACAGCCATAACTTTCACATCATAAATTATGAATTTAGTTTTAATGTATTGTTGCACTTTTCTTTGACAGTGATGATTCCTTATCTTCAAAGCCCAATATAACAAGTAAAGCAGAGGTACAACAAACTATGCATTTATTTTAATATTCATATGGACCCCTGATTAACACCTAATGATTTCAAACACAGGTTGATGAACTAAATGGAGAACTCAATGCACTTAAGGTAGAGCTGAAAACACAGAAGGAACAGAATGCTAATTCAGAAGACTTATCATATTCACTGCAGAATCAGGTAAAAAGCTACGTAAATGAATATTAAAAGGGGACAAGTTGATATGCATTGCATGAATAACTGTGTTTGTAATAATCTCCTTGACTTGTATTTATAGGTAACTGTTGTAAATATTAGACAAGTATTATTTGGTAGAGAAAAAATAGTTTTCAAGAGAATGGGGCAGGGTCGTTAATGCAAGGACTGTCAGAAAACCTATGTTTCTGAATAGCATGCGCCGCACTGTTGTTGTGACGAAGTAGGTTTTGATAAACATCAATCAAAGTGTTTCCATAACATTTCATATATAGGCACTTGTGCATTGGCTTCCATCCAAATCCTATTTTGTCACAATAGCACATGATGATTCCACTTGTCCYGTTGAAAAGCACTGTGCATAATATTGCAGCTATGAAACCAGTGAATCATTAAAAAATTTTCTACTATAGCTTGATGAGAGAGAAAGAGAAATACTGCTACTCAGGGAAGAATTGGATAGTCTACAAAGAAAGACTTCTATAAGCACAAGGAGTGATAAGGATATAGAATGCGACAACACTGGTGTTGAAGATAAATGTGACAGAACAATTTATGCTAAAGATCAGGTAGGATAAATGTTTAAGAGCAATAACAAACCCTTCAAATTTTATTGTTACTTTCCTTACTGATATCAGCCCCCTGCCTGATCAAAGCCAGGGCACAGCTAWCTCACAGATGGAATTGAAATTCAGCTTGTTAGGTTTTGCATAGGGAGGAAAAATTGKAAAACCTAACAAACTCTACTCACATGCGATGCTAAGTCTGGGAATCAAACTCAAGACCCCAGATGAAGGAGTGCACTGCTACCGATGCCACCCGAGTTGACCCCAGAATCTTAGGAGAAGACAAAGAGAACTTGATTTTATAATTTCTAATGAACCTATTTACTTTATTCTAGTATATTCAGACTCTGGAAGAAGAGCTAAAAATGATGAAAGAGCTCACAACCAAACAGGTAAGAATAGCTTTTGGCTTAAAAGGAAAGCACTTAATATTGCTAACGAATATGTGGTCCATCTTCCAGCTTAGTATTTCAAATTTTAAAGTCTTGAATTCAAGTGATGGGAATGAGAGGAAATGGATAAAAGCCAGCAATAATAAATTAATAAATAATTACAGTAAATAACTTTATTTCAGTGTCAATGTATTTAGTTTATACAACTAATTGGGGACACTGAAATAAAACTCAAATGAAAAAATAATCAAAGAAACATAAAGTGTTTTAAGAATCCCAACTGGCAAGGAAGCAAACCAGTTGGCTATTTACAAGCATGGTCAAGAAACTGAATTTGAACTAATCAGAAACCAGGACAAATACAGTCTCAGCTAGTGGCCACAGCAAGACTCGAACTCAGGACTCGACCATGCTGTCTGTTTCTCTAAAATTATTGAATTATTATTTTCAGGATGAAAGATATCAAAGGAAACTCAAGAAATTAAGGAGCTTGTTGTCCAAGTCAAAACAGGATTCATCTCTGAAGTTATTTGAGCTCAAGGATGAGAAAAGTAAATTAGTTGAAGAAAATACGAAATTACAAGGTAACTAGAAATTCTTGACACAACTAAGTTAGGAAATGAAAAAAAGAATAGAAATTTGCATTATTTAACAAAGATAATAGAGAACAAGAAATGGGATAAAGGAAAGATGAGAAATAAAATTTGAAAAATTAAAAATCTCATCCCTTTAGAAACCTATATGTAGTGAGGGTCCTGAAGGGCTAAAATGGGAGCTTGAATTCGCCTTTTTGGGGGCTGGAAAAATGAGGTTTTATGCACTGGGAATGAGATCACTGCACAAACAAACAAACAAACAAAAAACAATTTAAAAATGGGATTAGATTGAGATTTGAACCAAACATGGGCTGGGAATATGGGGTTTGATCAAAATGAAAGCTGGGGAATGGGATAAGGATCTCTCATTCAGGACCCTCTGTGATGTATAAAAACTTTCCTATAATGATCTCCCATCTAACTTCAAAAAATCAAAATTTTAGATCCACTTGCAGTCCAGCTTGTTGAAGTGTCCTAACTTCTTTCATTTCATTTGTTTATAATTCAGAGCGCATCGAACGAATGAGTCTTGATTCTGGCGACTTTGGTCGTCAAGGCAGTGCAAGTAGCCAACGCTCAGTGCTATCACGTGATAAGGACATCAATGAAAACGTCACTGAAGACGTCATCGATAACCATGATGACCCGCGCATGAAATTGATACTAGAACTATCAGAACAAGTAGCGAATCTGGACTCGGAAAATTTAGCTTTAAAACGAGAGTTGAAACACTGTCGGAAAGTCGCCGAAAGAGTCGAGAAGTTACGCATACAGAAGAAGCAAAATAAGTCGTCTGATAGAACTGAAATTGTATGTGTTGATAAAGGCAGCTCGTCTTGGAAGGAGCCCCAGAGTAATCAGGCCTGCCTAGAAATTACTTGAGGGGAAAAGAATTATGAAGATAGTAGACATTTTAATATATTCAAGAAAAATTTCACTATTTTTCAAATTTTTATAGAATTTTGTAAAGTATATTTAATACTGAAATATTCCTTCACTAAACATTAGAGCTTATCTTGCTCTTGGGAAGGAAATTCTCACAAGTCTTCAATAAATGTCAAATTATTGGATCAGCTGTATTTTTTTTATTTAAGCAAAAAAGATACCATTGAATCGTTGTGAGAGGACGTGATGGCTGGAAAGGTTATGCGTGCGCGTGAAGGAATTCCAGCAAACAAACAACAATAGTGGCGGTATACGTAAATATGCACAACGTCAGTGCGCAGACGCGCGCAAAAATAACTTCTTGTTCTTTGCCCTTTTACATACACAGAATGTAACTAGTTTTACTCGATGAAATAAAAAGATACTTAAATTGTCAGTTCTCTGTACCAGCGTTAAACAATAAGGAAGAATTTTTTTGCTTTGAGCATGACGTCCTATCTGTGTAAGTCCCTCCACGTTATGGCCCTGTGGTTGCGTGACTTGTTCAATATAGTGTGACCAACTTGACGTCATCTCCACTGCATGAGAAGAACGGACACTAGGGGTAAGACTAARAGAGGGATTTTGTTACTAGCCATTTTTTCAGGTTTACGCTTTATGTGTTCAAACTTTATGGAAAAATTAAAAGTGCTATGAGTTTTTATGAAATACCAGCGCGCTCTGTTTCCCAGCGAGCATGCGCCTTCACATTGCTTTCCATTCGAACCCGTTGAGCTGCGCTACTGCTGTACTTGCGATTGTTATTAGTGCGCAATAAAGTTAGTTGAGGTAAACAAAGCTGAGAAAATATTGAAAGTATACGTAGTTGTACTTACATGTGCGGTATATTTGATGAGAACGCCTTTTTTGTTGAGAGCTGAGTCTGATCTAAACACGATAGACGCTATGTTCCCTTTGACAGTGATTACGCGAGGATAGGCAAGAAATCCGCAGATCCTTGAACCAACTTGATTGGACAAACCGTCCAAGAATAATAGATAATCATAACTAGGGGAAAGATGGTAGAAAGTGATAGTTTAATCTCCTCTTAGTAACCGTTGCTATGCACCAAAAAGATCAAGTATTTATACAGTCCTAGAGGCTCAGATACGGTCCTAACTCATTTATGGCATTGCAGTGCATTGTGGGACTTTTTTGGGGACATATTTCCTAGATGGTGTCTATTTCTTCCAACTACAAAAGTCCACAATGCACTGCAATGCCAACTTGATCCCTTCTTTCGATCCCACTAACAGGGTATGTCACACTATGCTGTACGTTCCCAATGTACTAATATAATACGAAAGATTCTCTATACATTTCGTCACGGTCACGGTACTCCTTGTCTATACAGTGATACAACTTACCCACAGTTGACATCAGCCTCCAACGACACCTCTTCCAAAATAATATCTATCACGTGATAGACCTTGGGTAAGATGATGGCCCACTTACACAGAGTATTGGAAGGATACGGGTCAGGGAAATGCGGAGTTTTAATGACACCAGTGGGACGGTTTAAGATTCCTCCACAACCTATAAAAAAGAACACGAACAAGATAGTTATATTAATTCTTTCAAACGAATACACCTCTCTCTACCTTGGACCTAATATTTTTCTGTTCAAGACCACGTGTCATTCCTTCGAGTATCATTTCTTTGTTTAACGGTTGCGCATGAGAGTTGCGCATGTTAATGTGAATTAATGCGTTTGAACACAAAGCGAGAAATAATATCCATAATTCATCAATGGTAACTAACCTGGATTTTTTATGTGTTGTGTTACTTGTGTAGGCATAACAGGCACCCCAGTATCATGCGCCATGACACACTTTCCATTTTCACTGCTTGGAAATTTTTCACAGTCCAAGTGTTCAGGCCAATCAAACTCGAACGCTTTCATCAGCGAAGCGCACTCGTGTTTTGACCTTGAGCAAAGCTCTCGACATGGTTGGACTCTAGGAGAGTGAGGATTATAACAAGGAGTAAGATAGGTGACGCAGATTAAGTCCCTCAAAAAGCGCGAACAGTTTGCGCGTATGAATGGCAGAAAGCGGCTCATTTGTTTCTCTGCTTTAAGTTGGTCTCTATAACCTGCTCGAGTTGGCAGGCGTGTTTGATTGTAGCCCATGTAAGTACAGTATCGTGATCGTAACGGCTCACATCTTTCATATTTGGGCAGTTTCTTTGTGGTGGTTTGAAAAAATGAGTTGATTGTAACTGATGGGGCTGTATCCTTAATGTCACTTCTTGTTGTTGTTACAGTCGAAGAATCTTCCGTGGAAGTGGAATGCGTGACATAATTTGACTCCGTTAACCCTTTTGGATCGGAAGTAGACGAAGTACTCGGACTAGTGGCATGGGTGGTATGCAAGGAAACTGTACTTTCACCTTCACCAATGAAGTAAGGATCCAAGACATCATCAGATTGCGTGACACTGGGTGTTTGCGAACGGGTGCCTTGAGATTGTGTGACTACTTTAGAAGATTGTGCATGTGCGCCTTGAGAAGTGTAAACCGTACCACTCGGGGAAGCTGGTATCGTCACTGGAAGCGAATGCGTTACTCGGTCATTTTGCGTGACAGATGCAGTATTTCCTTGCGTGTTTTTACCGTTAGGACTGGCCTCCTCAGTAAGATGGCCTTGCGTTGAAAAGTCCGAGGTAAGTGACGTGTGAATTACGGATTCGTTTCTGTTTCTGGTGCGTAAGGATGGCGTTGTGAAACTTTGTGTAAACTTTGCGGTTGTGTCAGGAGGAGGTGACGGTGTTGTTTTCTCTGTAGAAGGAATTAAAATAATAGAAATTTTTAATATTTACTCGGTTTAGCTCATTATGAGCTGGTTGAAGATCAGTGTCCTTTGCAGGAGATTTCGGGCGTAATCACAGGTCTGATTATACATAGGATCGATCTGAAATAAATTAGAATAATCTGGTGCCATCGTAATTACATTTACAAATAAACCAAAGCCATGTGGGTATAATGTTTTTCCATTTCAGACCACGTGTCATTCCTTAGAGAATAAATTTCTTTGTTTGAGTTTTATGGATATTCGTGCGTCTTCTCATGCGCGGCTATTAAACAAAGAAATTATACTATAGGGAATGATTAGTGGTCTAAAAATAAACATCACACGCATGTGGATTTGGACCATCGTTTAAGAGTAACCAAACGTTCAAAGCAGTCCTGCGAATTCTAGCCAAGGCACGCTAAGAAGACGCCACAAAATTGTCAGCGCCTTAGTCAGTTTAGTAATTCGCAGGTAAATACGTAAACGATAAGTTACCTGGTGTCTTTGCGCAGCCTTTAGAAAAACCCACAGAATACGTCTTAGATCGTGTGTCATAAAAGATAACGTCAATGCCAGATACACAGCCCTCCAACGTCGTCCCAACATACACTCTAAAAGGTCTTGAGAAARGCTCTCTTAGGAGCCCAATCCTCTTGGTGACGCGTCTTCTTCGGTTCACTCGGTAGCGCAATTCGTCTAAATATCGCCGCAAGACCAACAGGTGTCTCTTGCCATTACAAAACGAGTCCCCAGGGGGAGGGGGTATGATAACCATTCCTGGACCCGATGACGTCTTAAAGAGGAATTCTATATTTCCATCCCCGGTTAGAGAAAGTAGAAAAAACTGATCTGTGTTTTGACTGGTCATCTGGAATAAATTCCCGGAGCATTTGTGTGCGGTGAAGCGAAGATAAAGGCTGATTCCAAGTGATTTGTCGAAAACTGGGAAGGACTTAACCTTCCCTTCTGCTGTGTAAAGGATTCCTAGTTGCTCTGAAAAGAAAAATATTTTTCAATTTTGAAGTAACAGCAAATTTTTATCATTTGTGATATTTATTTCATTTTGAGTATTTATACAGGAACATCCAGTTTAGCAAGGCTAGTTTAAATGAGGTCCTTTTCTTGATGCATCAGTTTCCAAACACAAATTAATAAGAGTGACTGTCTGTAACGATCAAGCAAAATTCAAAATCCGTGGCAAACTTCGAAAAATCGATTTCGCTCATACTTT